TAAATGTCATAAATACTCAGAAAAGAAATGAGGAAAGGTTAAACAAATGAAAAAGTGTCTAGAACAGTGAAAATGTGACATTGGTTATCCTTTTCCTCATCTTGAAAAATACACAAATAACCCGCACACTGGACAGAGAAACTTAAAACGACGTTTCGGTCTGACTTGGACCATTTGAAAGTCACATTTTATATATATATATATATATATATATATATATATTATATATATATATATATATATATATATATATATATATATATGTCGTGCCAAATAGGTAAAACTGGTAAATTAGCAAGAAATCATTTAAAGTTAAGTCTTTTCTGAAAAATTCTCTTATACATTTAAAGATATTTTTTTTTCATTTATGTTATAACAAAAATTAATAATTTTGTACCAGAAAAACCTTAGAAAACTGACCTAAACTTATTATAATAACCGCAATTTAATTTAGCCTAATCCAACTAAATGTATTTTATATAAGTTTACAATAATTTAATTAAAAACATACACAACGAAATAAATGGTTTTTCGTGAGATTCAATATGATTTTGCGAAATTATTGCATGCACAAAATTTCGCTTGCCCTACTCGGCAAGAAGTGCGTTTTGTTAATTTTAAGCATATATATATATATATATTATAAATATATATATATATATATATATATATATATATATATTATATATTATATATATTATTGAGTGGAGATAGGGATGGGACCAAGAGAGGAAGAAAAAGAAGTGTGAGGCTGGTAGTGGTGAAACAGCTAGTGGAAGCAGTAGTTGAAGAAACAGTGGTAGTAGAAAGTAGGGAGAGTAGTTTAGGGGCACAAGATAGAAAGGAGGGTGAATGGTATACCTTGAGTATACCTGGAGAGGGTTTCAGGAGTGAACGCCCCCGCGACCCGGTGTGTGACCAGGCCTCGAGGGTGAAGGGAAAAAACTAATAATCTCGTAAATCACCGAGGCATAAGAGACAGGCATGATATTCCCCACATCTCACATCATAACAACTCTAGAAAGTGCTCTTGAAGAAAACCTGAAGTTGATTAATTTCGCAGGACTGAAATGCTGTTGGAGTGACTACCCCTTATGACGAGCGTGAGGATATCTCAAGATATTCTCTAGACCTTAAGATAACTTCCCCCATCTCCTTTCTTATTGCGTATAATTTTAGTTACGCCGAGTGTGTCTTCGGTAATTCTTGGACCAATAGTCTCCTTGTGGCCATCTCATTAACTAGTTATATTTACAACCTTTCTAGTTGGCTATTCTTATTTAATAAATTAAAATCTTTATTTTATATTGCAAACTGAACCAGACTAATTAACAAAAAAGTTACCATAAAGTTACCTAAAATAGAATTACCTAAAATAGGATTACCTAAAATAAGGTTATCTAAAAATAAGGTGATCAAAAATAGGATGACCTAAAATCGGATGACCTAAAATAGGGTTATCTATAATAGGGTTACCTAAAATAGGAATACCTAAAATAAGATTACCTAAAATAGGATTACCTAAAATAGGGCTACCTTAAATAGGATTACCTAAAAGAGATTTACGTAAAATAGTATTTAGAAGCTAAACAAGAAATATCCCTATGGACGCTCCCTGGGTGGTGTTCCCAGTCCTAATTTTTCAAATGTAGTAATTAGCTCTCTTAAAAATTTTCTACCTCCCTCACCTAAGATATTTCTAAGTTCTGTAGACAGAATCCTGATCCACACAACAAGGCGCAACAAACGAGTATCCTTCTTCATGAAGTTCAGACCATGAGTAATATACTAACGCTTCATATCTTCGTCCAAGACGAAGGCATTTATAAACAGATCCACATGACTCACACTTTTGTTCGCTGGGTAAACTAGTCAGTTACGTTAAATCTTACAGACGTCTTGGTGTAGACTTCCCTTCGGTAAATCCACCATTTTTTTTTTAACAGTCGGCCGTCTCCCACCGAGGCAGGGTGACCTAAAAAGAAAGAAAATCCCCAAAAAGAAAATACTTTCATCATCATTCAACACTTTCACCTCACTCACACATAATCACTGTTTTTGCAGAGGTGCTCAGAACATAACAGTTTAGAAGCATATACGTATAAAGATACACAACATATCCCTCCAAACTGCTAATATCCCAAAACCCCTCCTTTAGAGTGCAGGCATTGTACTTCCCATTTCCAGGACTCAAGTCCGGCTATATAAAAATAACCGGTTTCCCTGAATCCCTTCACTAAATATTACCCTGCTCTCACTCCAACAGATCGTCAAGTCCCAAATACCATTCGTCTCCATTCACTCCTATCGAACACGCTCATGCACGCTTGCTGGAAGTCCAAGCCCCTCGCCCACAAAACCTCCTTTACCCCCTCCCTCCATCCTTTTCGAGGACGACCCCTACCCCGCCTTCCTTCCCCTACAGATTTATACGCTCTCCATGTGATTCTACTTTGATCCATTCTCTCTAAATAACCAAACCACCTCAACAACCCCTCTTCACCCTTCTGACTAATACTTTTATTAACTCCACACCTTCTCCTAATTTCCACACTCCGAATTTTCTGCATAATATTTACACCACACATTGCCCTTAGACAGGACATCTCCACTGCCTCCAACCGTCTCCTCGCTGCTGCATTCACAACCCAAGCTTCACACCCATATAAGAGTTTTGGTACTACTATACTTTAATACTTTCCCTTCTTTGCCTCCATAGATAACATTTTTTGTCTCCACATATACCTCAACGCACCACTCACCTTTTTTTCCCTCATCAATTCTATGATTAACCTCATCCTTCATAAATCCACCGTATCACAACTAAATAAGAAAATGATAAGCATGACTAAATTTTCATAGAGATGTTGCCGTCTACAACCCCAAGAGGAGAGAGAGAGAGAGAGAGAGAGAGAGAGAGAGAGAGAGAGAGAGAGAGAGAGAGAGAGAGAGAGAGAGAGAGAGACGTACACAGCGTACAGTAGATCCTTAACCGTGAATACTTATGTAAAGAAATCTATCATCAGCTCTCGGAACTCATGTGCAACGATCCCCTCACTTGTTATTTGTCCTAAAACAACCATGATTCTTAAGGAGCTTACTGTTCCTAGTGCCGATAATTGGACAATTGTGCTTAGTATTATAATACCACGTGTCACTATTAATCTTGCTAAATGTCTTAAGTCCAAATGGATAGATAAAATGTGTAGATTCTATAACCTGCTATAGATATAATGAATACTGTATTTTCCTGCATATAAGGCGCACGGGTATATAAGTCATGTAAGACAATGTTTCCATGAAGTTGTAATGCAGCATTAGTAAACAACTGCCTAAAGCCTAACCAAAGCCTAACCTGACCTAACCTTACATAAGGCCAGGATGATTCCTAGACCCTTTCTTGGAAAAAGGGCGCTTTATACCGAAATACCGGTTTCACTTCAGGGAACGAATTCATTTATTCATACACCAGTAATACTTCGCCAATAAATTTCCGACATCCGGAAGATATTACAGTTAATATCATGATGGATCGACAAAAAAATCCTAGGAATAAGCATGGCTCTTTTGGACACGGGATGCTATGGCGTATTGCAGACAGTGGAACTGTGGATTGCGACATGTGGATACTGTGGGTAATGCAGACAGTGTACTAGTGGTAATGCAGACAGTCGGATACTGGCGTTTTTGCAGACAGTGGAGTTGGTATTGGACAGTGGATGCTGTGGCGTATTGCAGACAGTGGATGCTGTGGCGTATTGCAAACAGTGGATGCTGTGGCGTATTGCAGACAGTGGATGCTGTGGCGTATTGCAAACAGTGGATGCTGTGGCGTATTGCAGACAGTGGATGCTGTGGCGTACTGCAGACAGTGGATGCCGTGGCGTATTACAGACAGTGGATGCCGTGGCGTATTACAGACAGGTATGACGACAAGAAGGCGAGTTTCAGACCAAGCTATTATCCGGGACAACAATTTCACTAAATGCTATGCTTTATCGTGTTATAGTTTGATAATGCTCTACACAGAGCGAAACGTGGTCTCTGTACAAGCTTGTTCCGTATCCTGTGTCTTGGTCCTCATATCGGGCGAAAAAGACAATCATATTAAACGTGATTAAAAAGATGCATATAACAAAAAGAGGCGTATTAGGACAACGTTTCACCTACTTGAAACTACAGCTGTATGTGTTCTTGTTTTGGACCACAGTATATTAACTACTAGACTTAAACGTACAGTAATACACAAAAAACTGAAAAAAGTTTAACGTTTAACCAACTTGTTGCTGCGTCCTTGTGGCGGCTGCATCTCCTCTCGTGGTCATAAATCCTGTAAACACTGAAAATCTGCATCAATACTGACATGAATTTTGACCTTGGGCCATGCTGCTAGTACACTCAGAAGACACTTGGAGTACACACTCAGCTTGCCAGGTGTTATTAGGGGAAGAGGGGGGGTGGGAGGCCTGAGACCACCACTCCCTCAACTGGTGTACTGGAAACAATAGGGACATCAAGCGGGGCCATCTAGGGGTGACATGCAAAAGCGAACATGAACAGTGCGGCCAAAATGGTCGGGACTGGGGCCTTCCTACATCCTTTCCCTGTCCCTGCGTTCTTTTCCTAGCCACCCTTCTCTTTCTCTCTGTCTCTCTCTCTGTTTCTGTCTCTGTCTCTGTCTCTCTCTCTTTCTCTCTCTCTTTCACTCTGTCACTCACTCTCTCTCTCCCTCTCTCTCTTTCTCTCTCTCTCTCTCTCTCTCTCTCTCTCTCTCTCTCTCTCTCTCTCTCTCTCCCTCTCTCTCTCTCTCTCTCTCTGTCTCTCCTATCCACCATCCTTCTTCAAGGACACACGTGGATGGTGTCGTTCCTTCTCCATTTATCCACTCATTTTCTCTTCATTATATCTGTCCCCATCATTTGTGTTCCCATATGCCATCAGGATCCTTCTCTTCTATCAGACTGGCTCTACTCTGTCCCTCCTCCTCTCTCCTTCTCTCTCCTCCTGCTCCATTTTTAACCCCACATGCTGCTGGGTGGTTCGACCTTAATCCTACCTTTACTGGCGCCATCCGGGCCTCTCAGTATGGTGCATTCCTCTATGTTCCCGTAGGGTTGGAAGAGCTGCCGTACATCCTCTTCTGTCTGTTGCTTACTTAGCATGCCCACGAACAGTTTCCTGTCCTCTGAAATGACGAGAGGAACGCTGTTGTAGTCCTCCTTCAGGCGCTGTCTCACTGCACAATTATATTTATTTTTTTTTTTCAACTTGAAGTTTGCTTAATGTAAGATACAATGAAGACATGTGCGATTACTGTACACCAGAGGGAGTCTGGTTCTGGGTTTGGGATCTCCCTCGTTAGCAGCATCAACACACATCAAGTGTTCAACTAACGTCTATGATCATTGAAAAAGACACTCTCTTTTTTTAATGTTCTGACTCCTCGAAAAATCGACTTCACAGTCAGTAAAAAAGTGCATCAAATTGTAAAGTTTCTGTAACGTGGTGGTAGCGAGGCGGAGAAGAGGATATAGCAGCTCTTTTTTGTTTTTTTTGGTCAATGTCTTTTGTTTTTTTTTGGTGCGACGCATGAGATTCACCCAAAAAAAAAAATTACAAATTTTCTCTTTTTGGCAGAATCAAAACGAATGTGAAAAAAATATAAATTTCTCCCGGTTTACATTTTTTTTTGGGAGGGGGGGGCGTGTACCTTTCTTGGGTGATCTCAATGTTTTGCGATGGTCAGGCTGCGAGGGTGTGAAGTCTGTATTCCAAGTTCAGAAAATCACGTTACTAAATATCCAAAATGAAGGAAAAAAATATATATATATATATATATATGGGACTTGCAAAATACTATCCATCTCTTAAAAATACTGAAAATGCCACAAAATGGAAAATACCGAAGAGGTGAGACAAAATTCTGGGAGGGGAGGGAGGGGGGTTATGAGGAATTAGCAGCAGAGGATTGCCAAAAAAAATAATGGTATTAAGAGCGAGGTGGTTTTTATAGGACGGGCACAAAAAAAAAGTGATCCAGTGAATGAGGACAGTTGGACATCAAGCTAGTGGTTAGTTACCCATCAACTAAGGGGATAAAGGGGGTAAAGGGGGTGTTCAAAGGGACTGCAAGTGACACCAAGTTTAAAGAGTGCAGTCTGCAGTGGGCCTGACGTGTCTGGGTGTTCACACTAAAATGTTCAAACGTCAGCCAGAGAACATGTTATGAACATGTCTTCAGCAGTGTCCTCCATTATTATTATTATTATTATTATTATAGCTATTATTGTTATTATTATTATCATTTGCTTTACCATATTTTAATTTGTATTGTTTCATTATTTTTATGGCTATTGTTATTGTCACATTGATTATTATTACAATTATTTTCAAACTGAAATATAGCTAATTATCATTAAGATTATTTTTAAACAATCATTCTTATACCAGTAATCAATTACTATCAGTATTTAGGTAAATTCCTGACATGACACTACGGAATTATGATTGCATCATTTACAATGTCAAAACATCATTCTCTTCAGAATTTATTATGAATAAAATAAATGTATCATTATACTTGCTCCGGATTTGTGTGTGTGTGTGTGTGTGTGTGTGTGTGTGTGTGTGTTGTGTGAAAATAGCTTTCACAATGCTCAGTTGTAGCTACAACGAGGCCAGAGGCGCTCAAAGTTCTGCTGTGAAAACATGCGCTCAAAAAAGGGTTTTGACGCATGAACAATATGCGCAAAACATGCACCACGCATAAACCATTCGCTAAAATATTTTTCTTTACGTGAGTTATCTCACATTGCTCACTTCCATTAAAGAAAATAATTAAGCAGATTATAATATCTTTATTTTTTGACATTACTGGTCGGGCATAGCCTCTGATCCGCATGAGCCATACGGGTTTAGAGCTACAATGCATGCGGCCTCTCTGGCAGGAGATGAGGGACCAGTGCTACTATCATCACTAACAGTGCCAAGGATAATGGAGATCGCCAGTGTCACATTACTGGAAATGCAGTGAAAATGTTCTACTGTACTGCCACAAGCCCAGTGTGTGTGTGTGTGTGTGTGTGTGTGTGTGTGTGTGTGTGTGTGTGTGTGTGTGTGTGTGTGTGTGTGTGTGTGTGATTCATCCTCTTGTTGATATTAATGGATTGATAGCTCCCAGGAAGAGAATGTTAACTTAAGTGCCTTCAAGCAAGTGCCCTTCTCCAGTGCCAAGGGATGGATGTTGGGGGGAAAAAAGATAGAAAAGTGTCACTTACGCACACTTTCGCCAGATTATTGATGAGGAGGTTAATCAAGTTATTATTTTGTGGTTGCAAGTGAGCACTGGGAACTGCTAGGCTACTGAAATATTTAGTTCATATTTACTAATAAGGCTTAGAAGATATTTAAAGTTATAATTTTAACGACGAGTGCAATTTAACTCATTGTGACAGTATATTTAGATCATAGAGGTTTTCTGTAGTTATAACCAGTATCAAAATTCTGTAAGAATGGTTTTTTTTTTTTCACGTGACTTTATCTTGGTGACATTTCTTGTGCTCAATAACCATAATAAAAGAAATTTGTCTTCCCGTTTACCTCCGGGGGTTGACTTGCTACAGTGTTCAGTGTTTAAAGTTCTAAATCTTGGAATACAGATTGGTGAACAAGTTCACATCACGAGAGAGGTACAACATCGATATAGGTCAAAATTCAACTACACCACCACGCCACAGAGTTGCACTGTTGCCTACGCTGACAGGTCCACATTATCAAAAACAGTGAAAAATTTCTGATTTCTTTTTGGAGAATGATTGTGAATTTTTGGGCGGGCAGAAATAGAGCCCATTTTTTTTTCCCTTCGCCCCCTCTACCTCCCCCGCCTCGTCTCCTGGAGCGGAGGAGAGCAGATGTTGTCAGTCCTTCTTGAGCAGCATCACAAGACAGTTACCTGTCTTCAGGTAAAACACTAGTGCGTTCACTTAGATGGCGTTTACTGAAGCCTTTTCGGTCCTTGAACCTTGAGGTGATCAAGTCTAAGAACCGATAACGTCTTCAGTTATGTGTTCTAAGTGACTGAATTAGTGTCTATTCCTCTCAGGTTGTGGGCAGTCTGTCACCCTTTTACCACAGGTACAAGTCTTGGAGATACCACATACGAGACAGGTACCTACAAGCCAAGTCTTGAAGATACCACGTATGAGCAGGTACCTAAAAGCCAAGTCTTGAAGATACCACGTATGAGCAGGCACCTACTAGCCAAGTCTTGAAGATACCACGTATGAGCAGGTACCTAAAAGCCAAGTCTTGAAGATACCACGTATGAGCAGGTACCCACAAGCCAAGTCTTGAAGATACCACGTATGAGCAGGTACCTAAAAGCCAAGTCTTGAAGATACCACGTATGAGCAGGTACCTAAAAGCCAAGTCACAAAGATAGTGACAGCATCGGGGCGTGTGGACATGTCAGCGTTGCTTATATTGTCACTAAACAGCTACTGTTCTCTAAAATGTGTGGAATACTTCAATAAACAACAGGGATATCGTAAATACATTATACATTAAGCTTAGCCACAGACAAAAGAATGCAAGCCGACACAGAAATTAAAATGGTCCCAAAAAAATTTACCTTTGGAGAACCTTTAATCACACCAGAACCTGCTGTGCTGCAACCTCATTGGTGGAGAGGAGCTGTCTGGCATGTGATTGGCTGGATCGTCAATGACATCACACACATTCTATATTTTGATTGGTTAATCATTACCTGTACATCACTGACGTCAGAGCCTAGGACTAAATCTGTGCTGCAATTGGCTACAGAAGGGAAGAACACGACGGCTGATTGGCTGAATCGTATCATTCAGTCAGATGATAAATGGAGAAAAACTTGCAAATATAAACATAATAAATAAATAAATAAATAAATCGATGTTAGTCATTAACATTGAAAAAAAAAATTCTCATAACAGAATAAATGTAAATTATACACAAATGTAAATTATATTTGGAATTTATGCAGTGTGTGTGTGTGTGTGTGTGTGTGTGTGTGTGTGTGTGTGTGTGTGTGTGTGTGTGTGTGTGTGTGGTGTGTACTTACCTATTTTATACTTACCCGTTTATGTTTAGAGATGATCTCCAACTCCGGGTCCCTCCTCGTAACATTATATATGACCAGAGTATTTCACTATCTCTGAATTCTGCCATACCTATTCTTAAACCGTCTATAGAGTCTGCCCAACACTCCCGTCCCCCTAGCGTTCCACTTCTCAACTAACATCTGAGTGAAGCAGCCGGTGTTCCTTAAACTTAATACAGTCTCTGTCTATACTGTCCATCCCTCTGAGGATCTTTAACGTCGTGAGCTGTTCCAGCTACTATACTGAGAGTTATGGACTGTTCCAGCCCCTATACTGAGAGTTAGTTATGGACTGTTCCAGCCACTATACTGACAGTTAGTTACGGACTGTTCCAGCAACTATACTGAAAGTTAGTTACGGACTGTTCCAGCCACTATACTGAGAGTTAGTTATGGACTGCTCCAGCCACTATACTGAGAGTTAGTTATGGACTGTTCCAGCCACTATACTGAGAGTTAGTTATGGACTGTTCCAGCCACTATACTGACAGTTAGTTACGGACTGTTCCAGCAACTATACTGAAAGTTAGTTACGGACTGTTCCAGCCACTATACTGAGAGTTAGTTATGGACTGCTCCAGCAACTATAATGAGAGTTAGTTATGGACTGTTCTGCCACTATACTGAGACGTTAGTTATGGACTGTTCCAGCCACTTACTGAGAGTTAGTTATGTGTTCAACCACTATATGAGAGTTAGAGGATGTTCCAGCACTATACTAGTAGTTAGTTATGGACTGCTCCAGCCACTATACTGAGAGTTAGTTATGGACTGTCCAGCACTATACTGAGAGTTAGTTATGGACTGTTCCAGCCACTATACTGAGAGTTAGTTATGGACTGTTCCAGCCACTATACTGAAGTTAGTTATGGACTGTTCCAGCCACTATACTGAGAGTTAGTTACGGACTGTTCCAGCAACTATACTGAAGTATCGATGTAAAGTTAAAGGACACAAGTGCATTATGTGACTATTTTATTGAGGCAACGTTTCGCTCTCAGGGCTTTACTAAGCATTAGGTAATGGACTTGATAATCTGGAGAGAAACG